GTAGTAGTAGTAGTAACAGCAGCAGTAGGAAGTCTCGTTTGTTTTTCAAGAGGACCCCACTGTGTCACAGTGGGGTTACAGCTTGAAGAATATGGAACATGTGAAGCAGCCAGCACTCAAGAAGCTTCGGTGGTGGTTGCTCGACCTCTGGTTTTTTGTTGGTGGTTCAGCTGATCACCAGACATCCTGTCATAAGGCTCCCCTGTAATCTTGCTGCAATCTAGCCTAGGTCCTGCATCGCATTAGCACCATCTCCCGGCCTCCGGGTCACTGACATTGTGCCATGGCTTCTTCTTCCCAATGATGGACCTCACATTACACTTCTTCAACCTTGAACCAGTAGATCCTGATTTCTGGTTGCTTTCAAAGGAAGGATCCGGTGACCAGGCTGCTTAAACCCGGAGCGTGGCCCAAGCGCAAAATCAACGACGACGCCTTTTGTGCACAAATTCGCAGATAAGAGCATGGGAATGGACCTCAATGTGCGCACCGGTTCTGTCCCATACGAGAATCCCAGATGCTACACTGCTACATATGGCTGCATACTTGCCGCCGTTTGGCTTCCTCGGAGACATCTTCCCGTCTCAACAGTCTGGGAGATCTGGTTGGTCGAATCGGAGTCGCGTGTGTATTTCGAGGTTGCCAAGCTTGGAATCACGGTCACTGTCGGACGTGGAAAGCACTGGCACGAAGAGAGCTGATGCTTCTACCAGCTGTCAGGCACGGCGAAGCCATGAAACCATGAGCGCGTTGATGATGGTCCTGTCCTCCCACCAGCCTCAGGGCTTGCGCTGCACATGGTCCAAAGCCGCATCCAAGGCCTGCCGAAATCCGGCTAAGTCGACTTCCATGAAATTGCTGACTTCGTCGGACACTCCCTGTGTCATGACGTGGAAGTACTTCCTCGGTCGATTATGGAGGTCTGTGACAGACCCCCCAATGCATGTACAGTTAGCTGCCGCCGCACTCACATCACACCCTTCTGTAGAAAAGTTAGCGAATCTGTGCTCTACGGTCCTGGAGTACAAAAAAACACAGAATGCTTCATGTTCACGACCAGCAACACCCAAGAAATGCTTCCTTCCAAGCTGAAGTAAGTAGCCAAGCGGACGCTGCCGTCCGGTAGGTCGCAGCCACGGACCTTCAGAGAGTGGGCACCACAAATGAACTCGATTACCGCCGTATGGATGGCACAGGGCATCCAGAGGATATTTGAGAAAGCAGTTCCATGTGGGCCGAAAACGAGGATGGCAGAGCTAAACAGGCGATGCTGCTCTTCGTAAGATGCCGCATTCTTGCCGTCCGACGTACCATTGAAGACCACGATTTCTGACGACAGCCCGTGCCGATTCAGGGCGTCTTTGGCGATCTGCACAACCTCCTGAGAATGTTCAGTTGTCAAAAGCCGGCCGTGTCCTGCTGTGGAAGACATTCGAAGGGTGTACACAACCCTCGTTGCGTTGTAGGTAGGCTGCACCTGTGCGATATGCCTGCGCAAGTGATTAAACAGAGCGGGAATGCGAAGTCCGTGTGGGCTCGGAGCCTTTGGGACCACCACCCACAGTGAAGATGCGCACACCACTTGCTCGGACTGTACGAAAGAAGTCCGCTGGTACAGCTTCGGATCAAACCACGCGAGGAACTTCTGGATATTTTTCTGCGTGTCCAACTCCAGAACTATTCGTGCTTCGGGGTGAGAGGTGCTCATCCAAACAAGAACTGGCAGCAAGTCATGCAGAACATGTCCATACTGAAACTTCTTGAAGAAGAATCCCCTGAAGAAGACAGCCTCCCCTTCCACACTCTCTGCACAATCTTGTAGAAGGTCTTCGGTCGTCGGTGGCAGATACCAGCCCGACCGTGCTAGGTCAGGGCTCGATGGGGAAACTCGAACTTGCCAGTTGCCAAACCCTGCGGCTGCTGGATATATAAAGCGTGCTTGGGGTAGATTTTTGACTTCGAAAGCATCGTCAATGGTTCGCATCAGCACGTGTTTCGTGACCCACGCTGCTTGATCCCAGACTTCATGGTTTGCGGAATCGTTGGCCTCAGCCCCCAAACACAGAGTGACTTCGCCGACAGCATCAAAGGCCGGACAATTGCCCGTCAAGTAGGATACTGTGGACAAGGTCGCGTCCTTCACCATCTTCAGTGGCTTTGACGAATCGATCCTGTTCACGACCTGAAGTGTTTCGCTTGCGGACAGAAAGAATGGGACTGGCAATAGCAGTCCTGCCGCAGCCGCCAAGCAGAACATATACCAGCGTACTGCCATGGTTGCATGTGAACTATTGTTGTTGATGCACGACAGCGGGTGCCGCATGCTGACCCTTGATCCTACAGGTTGTAGCTTTATGTTGTCTTTACGGCGCCTGTAGTCTTCTGCTGCCCGCTTGCTGTAACTGGCCTGCATCAGTCAAGAAAAAAGGGTCGGGAAACAACCAAATCAGCTTGTGGTACAGTAACGACTTGAGGAAGAGACACTTTCGCCAAGCACTCTTCTTCGACAGTGCCGTGGCCTACAGAATGATACGAGTACAGCATATAGGCTTGGTTCCTTACAGCGGTTTGCTTCCACACTTCCTAAAAACTGAATTGCATCATTGCACGTTCTGGACCATGAGGCCACAGGGGAGAGGAATGAGTAGGAATCAATCACAAGACCCACGACTCGGATAATCACATGCAGAGTTACGCGAAGTGAGCTGGAATTTGGCTAGACGGGAGGTCGCCATGGCGAGAGGCACCGTAGACGGTAGTATCCGAAAACTGAATTGACTGAAGACATCCGTGACAGTAATCTTCGAGATTCCGGCGGTCTTTCCGAGTACTTGGAGAGGTCGGGGCCTCGAGCACAACCGTCTAAGTTTTATGTGAGTTCAGCATTGGGGAATGCTCCCTTGAACCGCTCACTGATAGCACTGCATTTGCGACAAGGTCGGGCTTCCAATATGACCTTCGGCCTCAAGCGATGACCGGGCCGTCGTAGTACGAACACTAATGACGACTGTCGGGCTTCGGCGCTACGGCCAGGCTACCACCGTGGGGCCAAATCCTGCAACTAGGGGCGAGTGTTCCTAAAGCGCTTTGAGCAGCGAGGTAAGTCGCATCCATCCATCCACTCATCCCTCTGTCCTTGCGTCCATCCATCTGTCCCTCGCTCCCGCCCTCCTTCCATCCTTCCATGCATCCAACCTTTCATCCATCCCTTGTCCATCCGTTCATCCACAGAAACCCGGCCATAAACCTTCGCTGCACCGTTCTATACACCCCCTATATAAGCCCTGCTGTAAACCCTTCTAAAAACCCTCCTATCAACCCCTCCAGAAAGCTTGCTACAAACCCTGCTACAAACCTCTCTAGAAGGCCTTTCCAGAGTCTAGAAACCCTTGTACAAACCCGGCTACAGACTTCTCTAAGAGTTTTCTGTGAAGCCTTCTTTGTCCCAAAACCCTTCTATGAACCATTCTACAAGCTGCTCTATAAGCCTGTCTTCAAGCCGTACTTTGAACCATAAACTCCTCCGTAGCCCCTTCTATAAGCCTGCCTGCCTGTCTACAGTCGGAAAATTCTGCCCCCATCCTGAAGGTCAGGGTGAGGTCTCGAAGCCTGACCCGAACATGCCCTTCACCGCCATGGCCGTTACGAAGCCCGATGCTTCAGCCACCAAGTTCAAAGTGTACTTACTATACTTTCACGGTCAAAGCTGGAATGCCTGTTCGTTTTGCCAACACCATCAAAGATCTGAGCAGGCTTCACGCAGGATTCCATGGAGAACCACCACGGAGACTGGCCCGTGCCATGGATCCGGGACTCTGGGGGCCAGGCTATGCAACCTTGGCCTCGTGGCCAAGACTGGGCAACTCCTTGCCAAAGACCTGGTCGCACAGAGAAGTGAAGCTCACCCCAGCCCGAAAACCTCCGCATTGAATCCTCAAGCAGCAAGCTCAAGCAATGAGACGGAAAACTGCGAAAAAAATCCACCTGTCTGGCAAATGATCTCCCTCGCGTCCATCTACCTCGAAGCGGCCAACGCTCTCCTGGCGAAGAGCCAAGGCTAGACCCCGTGGAAGCCGCTAGCGATGGCGCTGTGATGATGAGGGGCACTACTGAGCCTACTGCTTGAAGATGCAGGCTCATGAGGAGCTTGCATGGTGACGGTCCTTTAGAGGCTTTCGAGCCGGTAACTTGCCAAAGGGGATGTTCTTGGTCCTGAGAACAGGCACGGTGCTGGAGTGCAATCTAGTTGATAATCATGGCTTCAGGTGCATAACGAAATCCCAACCTGGCTAGCATTGCCGACTTGCAGTTGGTTGGCTCTCATTTTTAGACCTTGTGAGTAGGTGCCATGAGGAGGTCGAGGCCTGGGCCACGGCGACCCAACTGCAAAGAGGGACATAGAGGCACGGTACAAAAATCACTGAGACCCAAATTGAACTGAGTATTGCCTTGGGCTTGGAATCTGAGCAGGCGAGAGGTTGAAAACTTCAAGGCTCACGTTTGCTCCCTGCTTGCTGGAAGGACTTCGCGTTGGCATGAGCTATGACAGTTCTACAAGTCTCCCATTGCCGTATTGGCACGTCTTTGCCCCTGCCGGAAAGCACCACTTGGCACAATATGACTACCCAAGGAGTGGCAGGCAGAGATATCAAGGTCAGTCACGGCATGTGTAATCAAAACTACTCCACAATACGAAAGCATACGACGACAGCATCACCATAGCTCTATGGCTGCTGGGTGCCCGAGCTCCAGCTTTGGGCGTACGGCATCCAAGTTTGGCTTGTACTGGCCAGGCCTTCACATGCGCAGGCGCACACACAGACACATGTCGTGTTCAGATATGTATACGTGAAGGGATAGATGGACAAATAAACAGACAAGCAGATAGAGCTGGAGATAGAAAGATGTAAAGATAGATAGAGACAGATATAATATAGACAGACGGAGATAGATGTAGCTGGATACTGGAAGATACTGATAGCCTAAGTAGATATACATACATGGGTAGACAGAGCAGATGGGTTTCATTCACCGAGATGACCACTCTTCCGTGTCGGATATGGGGGACTTCCGACTGTCTGCGGGGAAAGCAAGCCAAGCTCCGACAACTTGGAGGCCAGGCTGGAAGTATGTCTCCGGATCCTTGTGCTTGGCTGCCGAAAGCCTGCACAACGAAGTAACAATGTAGTTGTAGTATAATCCGTAGCAGTCAAAAAGTGGAGCACATGCAACCATGCGATCATGCGAGAAAAAGACGGTTGATGCATGCCGGCCATGCTTCAGGGAAGTCATGTGACTTGGTGATACTATCCTGGGCCACCCACTTTGCAAAGTCCCACTCCGGAGTTCGAAGAATCCTTTGCGGCTCGGCGAGGTCAGCCAACCGAGCATCTCAAACTTGGAGCTCTGCCGTGTGCCAGCCATCAGTCTGCAGGGCTCATGACTACGCACCTCCTTCGGCACTTTCAGCCAAGGCTCATGGATGTGCTGCAGTCGCCATCCAAGACACCGTCCTCGGGAGGTTGGGCCCTCATGTCTCATGTGCTCAAACCTTCATGCAGAAGCTGCTTGGTATCTCGCTAGCTGAAAGCCAAAGGGGCAAGAGACGGTCCGCACATGCTTGACAAGCATAGTCAGGTGGTCGTGGGCGGGGTTTTGCTGATACGCGGTCTTTCCTCAGCATGCCTGACCCGACCTCACCTTACCCTGACCACATACGTACCATTTCACATACACCAACACCAAGGCATTTACCGTGAAGGTGCTGTCGTTGAAGTTGATGCCAGCACTCTTCAGCAGGTCTGGCCTGGACAGCAAGACGTTTGGTCATGGCTGGTTGTTTGGGGGCGGATCTTCCAGGCAGCTGCAGTGTGCTACGGTCGGTTCAGAGACAGAGTCCTCGGGACTTTCACGTACTTCCCCATGGCACTAGTTTCACCAGCATGCCACATACCCGTTGGAACTGATGCGCTGCACAATACAAAAGCTTGCAGCTGCAACGAACAAGTGGCTCTTTTACATCTCCTGCTGTCTGTCTGACAAGAATTGTGGAGACTACGGGCTATGGAGATGTCGGAAGAACATCCGGGGCCGTGCATGCATGAGGTACAAAAGCCGGTCCTGAAGCATATCACGCACAACAGCTTGATGAAGTCTGTTTGTCTGAGGCCTCGGGGGGTAGCGGTCCAGATTGGGAGTCGTGACGGCACGTCGCATCCTGAAGCACAGGCACAAACCGGAGCCCCTCCGACTGTTGGAAAGCTAACATGGTGTGAATACGACGCGGGTTTGATATGTGTGCAGAAAAAGTGTGCAGAAGGTTCTGCCTCATGCATCTTACGCACCTCAATTAGCCTAACGGCCGTAGGAGTAGGAATGTCGGAGTCTCGCGTGCGCTTGACGCCTCTGGTGAACTTTACTCGAATAGCTTCACCATAATTTTTCAGGCCGTACCTGCTGATGGTACATAAACGGGCTGAGATGAGTGTGAGTCTTATGTGTGAGCGTGGCTTTACTCCTGACCGACTGAAGACAGATGTCTGTCATGTCTATGCTTCCTTTGCTTCAAGGTTTGGAGAACCCCCAGACGCGAGGCGGCTGCTACATCTGGACCGAGACATAACCCGCAAACCAACACCAAGCCGAACCAGGTGTTCGGGGTACTGTATCATAACCGGCATAGCCTCTGATGTAGGATCCGTCTTGGCTCGACTCCGCAACATGCGAGCAAGCCGTCAGATAGGCCCCACAAGCCTCTCCGGCGGCTCGTCGCGCAGCTCGACGCTGGTAACACCCTGGACTGTGAATCCAAGGCAGCTGAAGGATGGGCACCTAGTTGTGAGGTTAAGGCCTGTCGTGGCTTGTCCACCTAAAGAAAACTGGCAGAGACTGGTGCGAAGTCAGTGTGCATGTGCAGTTGGGTCTGGTGACCACAAACAAGACATAGCTAGATTTTTCCCACCCGCCCACGATAGGAAGATGCGCGCATGCCTGTTCAATACCCCTGCCTTCTATGCATCAGCACCTGCAGGGCAGTAAACAAGCACACGAATACACTATATAAACTCGCATGCATCTGTGTGTGTGTATATAACACGTATATATATATATATATATGCATATATGCATAGATACATACATACATACATACATACATACATACATACATACATATACTACATACACATATATATATACATATACATATATCTTTGGCACTCGCGCTCGACCAGGTCCGGCGAGGGTCCCAGCAGCAACAACTACACTAACATATAC